TGCTGTTGCTTTGGGTGAAGATTTGCCATTTTCATATAAAGACAGAAAAAAAATATAAACTTCTCTACCAAATTCTGGAAGAACATTAAATAGGAAATTAGAGGCACCACAGATTAATTTGCATCTGCTTTGGAAATTCCAGATTTTAATCTAAGTGTTGTGGATTCAAAATGTTTCTTATGTGAAAGCATTTGTGAGAAATTAAAGTGCTTTACCTATCTACCTGATCTAACCTTCAGCTAATTTGAGGTATTTTAACTTTGAAAAATTATCTGACTAAATACACTGGTGGGAAAGACACAACATTCATCAAAACCCTTCTAAAATGGTTCAGACTTCAGCAAATGGAAGGAGAGGTGCCGCATATGAAGACCATTTCTCCAGTGAGGGAAGATTTAGGTGACAAGTTACTGCTCATTCTGGTTCTGCTCACAGCTGTTGATGACAGCTCATTCTCGCTCTTTTGCCCTACAACAGCTGAGGGCTGCAGAGGTCTGGGGCTCTGGTTTGGAAGACACCAAAATGCTGATAAATCAAACTGCTCCTGTTTCAAGGACCTTTTCCCACAGAGATGAGAAACTGCCTTCAGCCTCAGGGAGCTAATCTCCTCACCATCTATCCGGAATCTGGGAAACACCAAGTTAGAGTCCCAGAAGAGACTGCTATTTAGACAGTCTGATTTGGTGTCTGTAGAATTCTACTTCTTTCTGTTGCCTCTGGAAGGAGTCATCTCTGGGACTAAAACTCAGAGAACACCTGTCTACATAACCAGGCTGGTGGAGAAAACAGTCTGTTTGTGGACAGGTAGGATATAAGGAATTCTCCAGATGGAAGCTGTCATCCCATGACCTGGGTATACCACAGTGAGGAAACACCCCCGAGTTTTCTACTCCTCTACCATCTAGTCATAATAGCACAGAATGGCCTTTTTTGTCTCAGATAGTAAAGCAGTAGGAGGTCCTTCCGTCTCAAGGTGTGTGACTGCACAGCAGGAAGGATTGCCATAATGCACCTGTCAAGTGTTGAGCTCATCAAAAGTTTGAAACAGAAGACTATGAGTTTGTGGCTTGTTAATAAGAAAAACATTTGGAAAAGTCACTGAATAACCTGAGATTTTTGTATTGCATTATAGGTCTTCCTACATTCCAAGAGTAGGTGGGTTCCTGAAATTACCGGAATTCAGGATATACAGCATGTTAGTCAATTCTGGATGTCCATGATGAAGATGACTGTAAACTACTCATCCAGACCTCTTGTATAGTCATTTAAATGTGAGTAAGCATTTCTAGGATGCAATTCATCTAATATTAGTGTAGATGTTCAATACAGCAGAGTTGAGTCATCCTCCAGAAATGCCTAATCCTCCTCAGTAAGCATGAATTTAGAAATATACTTCAGGGTGTGCTATCAGGTTACATAACTTGTACTCATAAACTATCATGTTTTCTTCAGCCTACCATGCTATGGGAGATAGAGGTAGTACACCTTTGATTACCATATTTCTTTCACTTTGAAAAATGCTAAGCACTGAATGGAGAAAATAGGAATCATTTATCATTAATTATAATTAATTTTTGTAATAAATAATTATTTATAATTAAATTTGAAGGCATCCAGGAAGGCTTCAAATAACATGTTAAAAATAGATAAAGAATATTAATAAAAGAGGGACATTTAACTAAAATATCCATTCAGTTGAAGAAAAGGTAGATGGAATGCCAAAGGGTGAACTAGCAGAGAAACAAGTTAGTAGAGAAGGAATATTATCGCTACTGGAATCCATTAATAAAAGTGATATTTTTAATAATGAACTAAGTGGCTGCATGAAAAAAGTCCTTTGGTTGTGATGAGAAATGAAGCAGGTACGTGACCAGGTGCATCACTTTGCACAGTCCCTGTATCCTAGTTTTCAGAGGAGCCCCCAGTTTGGTGTGCAACTTTCCATTCCCTGTCAGCATTTGAACCTCTATATTCAGCTCTGGGTGCCAGGAATGGGCCACCTGGGCTTCAGGAAGGAACATGTTACACACCTAGAATGGGAAACTTCCAAAATGTGGGCATTTATAAAACAAAGATAAAACAGCGACAGAATGATGCTGGTATGAACATTATGGAGAACTGCACCCCCCCCCCCCAACCCCCACCTCATTTCCTCATTTTGACATAGCTATGCTGGCACATGGAAGTTGTGCCAAAAACCCAGCCCAGAGGTCTACAGCTAACTAACTTGCTGCCCCAATAATATTTTGGTTTGAGCACAAAAGTAGGCTGGGGGAAAGGAAGACATACACCCATTTATCTGGTAGGGAACTGAGGCCTAGATAAATCAGAGAATGTCCCCAAAGCTTGGTGATCTGAATCAGCAGGGATTGCTTCTATTCTCAACAGTTTACAGGACTATTTCAGTTTATATTCCTCTCTCTTACTCCGAGATCTGCATTAGGATTATAATTTTACTAATTCTGAATTTTATTTTTAATAAAAATAACTTTTCTCATGCTTCAATCATTCAGCTTGTTCTGAGATAGTAGTATTCTGTTTTCATAAGTGTACTCACAAAAGATTAACTAGTACCTGGTTAAAGCTAAGTTACAGTGGTATTTTACTGCACTGTAAACTACAGTTATATGGAATGAACTTAATCAGATGAAATGAGCAAAGCAAAAATCTGTAGTGCCAGATCACCTCTCATGAACTTTTGTGTATTTGTGCAGCTAATCTCTTAATTGGATTTTTATGAGGAATATTTGCATATTTATCCAGCTTAGTTGTTTTTTTGCTGTAGACATGGGACCTCTTTTCTCTGAATGTCTAGAGTTCTACTGAATACTTTATGCAGTTCTGTACTTGAAAAAACACAGAGGCAAACAAACACTATGGGAAATAACAATATACAGAACATATCGTGTGACAAACTGTTACATTAGTACCCAGGTCATTACTATCAGACAAAGCTGCTTCCGTGAATAGCTGCATTTTTCATTCTTCGTTCATTGCACAAGGAAAGAATGGCTGAAAATGCTACTATCAGGGCTGGATTCCCTCCAGGCAGCGAGGTCATTGTTTGTAAAATGTTACAGGCGCAGCGCGGGGTGGCACTCGACTGAAGCAAGGCCCTTGTAGGATATATGCAAAGATGTGGAATTTTCCATTGACCCAGACAGGTTCACAATCCTACAGAGGCATGCTTTGGTAGGGGACCACAAAAATAACACTGTGATGGGTTGAGTAACATTCAGCTAAAGGTTAATGTAATTACCAGGAAAAGCCCTCTGCTAATTACAGACTGTCCTGTCTTTTAAAGCTGTTATAATCATACTGCTGTCAGAACTGCAGCTGAAGCTTGGTTAATGCAGCTATTTGCGTGTATGTGGCAGCTTGAGTCAGCTTCAGTGCTCTCTCAAAAATGCATTAAACAGTGATTTTACTGCATCAGAGGTGATGAATAGGAGCCTGGCAGACCTTAAGGGGTTTCTGTTACTAAAAAGAAAGGGACAGGAGCAAAACAGAGGGCTGAGAACAGGTGCAAAGTAGAGAGGGAAAAGATTATTGGAACAACTGCTTCTGCTGCCTGGAGGCAGAGGTGAACTGTGATGCTATTTCTCCAAACTCTGACCATTATCCCATGTGCCATATCCCATGTGCCCCCCAGTCCTTGCAGCCCTCCCCTTCCAGAGCTCGAGCTTAGGTAAAATAGGCAGAGGGATCTGCCCAGAACAGCCTTCGGCACAGGGTGAATTCCACACTTTAGATACATACTCTACAGAATAGAGGACATGATAAAAACATTTATTCTACAGTATGAGACTTCATCTCAGTGATTTAGGACCTAAATACACAGGCTAAGTGTAAAAAATGCATTTCAAGGAAGTGCTGTGACTTCTAAGCAGTTTTCTTGCACTCCAAATACTGCTACAAATCAAAAAATAAAGTTATCTACCCAAAAACTTGTGTACATATCAATTGCTTTTCCCTGGATCTTCCAGATGTGAATAAAATGAAAAGAGAAATAAGTGCCTCCAAAACTAATAATAATTTTATCAACAAAAATGATAATACAGTATATTTTAATTTGCTGTTAAGAAAAGAGCCATAGGGCAATTTTTGAATGCCAGGGGTAGGGTTCTTGCCTGAGACAAACCCTGTTCAAACCCTGTCCTGCAAAAGGAGGTCTTTATTTCCTGTCTGTTTGATGACAGCTAAATAGAAGGAAATTAGTCCCTAAAACCAGCACTGTACGAAATCTGGACAGATGCTGAGACTCATGGCCACTGGGGTTAGTACAGGAGTTTGTAATTAGAATAAAAATTGGGAATTAACTTCTGTTTCTTTCTACTGGCATCAGGCAAGATCCCGAAAAGGATTTGTTTGTAGCTATGGCCCTGAGAGAGCTCAGGAAGAGTTTGGGTCTGATGGTTATGGAAACAACAGTCTGGGAGCTATGACAAGGAGTGCTCTCTGGGTTTTGACTCTCTGGTGCACAGGAAAGTAAAACTTCTTTGTCCATAGTTTGCAGATCTTCACTTGTATTAAATGAAATACCTGATTCCATAATCATCTTCTTATATAAAACAAATGCTTTGGTCCTTGAGTCATTATGTGGTTTCATTTTGGCTTGAGTGGGCACACCCTCTCTTACTAATTTTCCATACATCTCATTAGCATTACAGAGCATTTTTAATTTTCAGTGCTTATTCTGTAACTGAAGAGCTGGAAAACCAGCTGTTAGCAATTACATCCTTAGGTGACTTGATTTTAGCATTGGGGAAAAGACTGGGAGCTCTTGGGAGACTTTTTGGTACCTTTCCCCTCTCTTTAATGTACTTTTCTAAATTTGCTCTACCCCTGCAGACTTCCATAGGAAGGCAGACAAAGCAGCAACAGCAGCAATTTCAATGGCAGAAACCTGCAAACCCTGTCAAGCTTGTTCCCATAGCTGTTCCTGATCCCAAGGGCAAATGGGGCAACTACCCCTCCAGTTCCATAGCCAGAGGTACAGAGAAGACATCTTCCTGGATTTATTGTAAAGAGTTCTTTGAAGGTATTCTCCAGCAGCTCTGATCACAAGTGATGGCTGGTGTATGGTGAAGAGGAAATGAAATGTTAAATAATGTTTCTTTCCTTGCAGCTGTTCCTGTTTTTTTTTTTAGATTTGAAATAAATGTTATATAAATAATGAAATCTTACTGATTAAGTGCTAACTGCTAGAAGATCTTAGTGTCTCTACAAAATGTATACACTGGAAAGAGTCTGCACTCCTGAAGCACTTCCACAGGTCTCAGTCTGATGGAACAGCCCCTCTCTTAAGGCTTTGTGACAGTCTTGTTCCAGACTTATTTCCAGATGAAGCCACTGCAGTGTTGTCTGACACTCAGCTGTGCTTAGTCCCAGCTATGGAAGATAAAAAGGGAAGGGAAAAGCCATGTTAACATTTTTCTCTAGAAATCTTTAATGATTCCAATAAGATCCATGTTGTCCAGACTAAAAACCTCATTAATAACATGGAAGTTGAAGTATTCTTCATTCTATATCATCAAGCCTCTGTTAATTTGCATGCAGATGGGCCTGCATTTTTTGCAATATGCCTAATCAGAGACGTCTGTGATAGGCAGTCTGAAGTGTATCACACTGCCAGTTTGCCATCTAGTGGTATAGCATAAAGCAAATTTTACATCCTATTTCAACATTTCAGTAAAAGGAGGCCTCAGAACACAAACACGAGACGATTTTAGCAATTTCTTAGCAGAAGACAGTCCATACCTATGATCCTCACTTCCTAGACCTTGCACTTCGTCCCCCAGGAGCAGAGGCTGGCTCAAGGTTGATCAGGTTTTTTTGAATCCACTGTATAGATCCAGTTTCTGTTTAACACCTTAGGCTTTATTGTTTTCGGTGTTATCCTGATCTATTTTTGACTGTATTTTTATACAAGTGCAGGGAATCTCAAAAAGTGGAACATGAATGGCACTTCACAGAGCATTGTCTGTATGACAATGGGTCTTCAGTGACCACCCACATCAAGAGAAGTTCAGTGTAACCTCAAGAGTTCCCAACAGGTGTTCTGTCTGTTCCACAAAACATTCTGGTTCTCATGATTTCACAAACCTCTTTGGGTGTGCTGTCAGGGTCATGGCAGTTGTCCTTTAATGCACTGATCCAGAATGCTGGAGGAAGCATTGCAAAGGAAAATATCACTTCCCTGCAAAACCTGTGAGTGCTGCTGAGGGAAAACTCATCACTTCCTCACGGGGTTGCTGTGGGATGGGAACATCATCCCAGCCAGGGGAGTCAATTGGCCACTCTGAGGAAGGTTAAAATATCCAGGGAGGAAGTCTGACATAACCAGCCAGCAGCTACATGGGTTGAGAAAGTGGTGAAAAAACATGTCAGGGCATAGGGGACACTCTAGACACAGCATGTCTAGGTTTTGTTTCATTCTAACATAAGAGTACAGCTAAGAATTTTTCCCCTTCTATAATAACTCCCATGTCCTGTATTCCTTTATCTGACAGGTGCTTAGACTATTGCTATACTAATAATCACTTGGGTACTTGTTACTGGTTTTTGGGAAGAGACAAACTAAGGCTGCATGGAGACCAGAGTGCCAGTGTAGTCAGACAGTCACTGTCTGAAATCTTTGACTTAGATTCAGTTAATTTAACCTCCTCAGAGTTTCAATAGTTGTTCTGGCAGCATGTTCAGCCACACAGGCCCCAAAGGACTTAAAGCAATTTTGATAAGCCATTAATTTCTGATGTAAATAAAGAAGGAGCTGATGGCAAGACAGTGGAAAAAACCCTCACTTTGGGAAAAGTCTCAGATGTGAAAATCCACAGGGAAAGGAAAACTGGGGAGAAACACTTACTTTATTTCTTTGTACCCAAAAGAGCAAAGAATAATTTCCATCAGCTGCAGAACTTAATTTTCTCAGTCTGCCTTCCCAAGTAGTATAACTGAGCCTCTGAATGCAAAGAGATGCTAAATACCTCTGAACTGTTTTATATTGCTACTTCTGTCACATACTTGCCAAAGAGCAGGGTGGGAAAGACACAAGCTGGAAGAGCCATTTTGGAAAAGAGACGCTGTAACTTGGGAAAATTTTCAGTTCTGTAGCTAACTCAGTTCGTATGGGCAGTTCATTTAGTCTGCATGTTTGATGTGAAACTGGTTGTCTCAGGAGCTTTAGTGTGCTATAGAAAGGGGCAATAAGCTTTCAGAAATATTGCTGAAAGTTAGTTTTTTAAAAATAATGGTATAGGCACCTGTAGATAAAATTTTGGCTGACTACAGTACATTTATTTGCAGAGCTGATAGTAGACCTTGCACTAACAGAAAAGTAGGTGTGATAAGCTCCCTTTGGTAGTTTTGAAGTCCAATTAATTTCTTGTATACCCAGAATTCCCTCAGAATTTGGAAAAAAAGCCAGAACAAGTACACTGCATAAAATATTGTTTAGTGAAGAAAAAAAAATTTTCAACACAGGCATGACTTCTTCCTGAAAGGTATAGAGGTAACACGGTTATGGATGGAAAATAGTCTTTTCTTTTGACACAGAAATATCTTAACAGAAAAAAACCAGTGCTAATAAGTTGAGTCAAAATCTAAGAACCCTTGGTAAGATCCTGACAAGGCACAGAAAGAACAGCTGGTGAGAGCAAGAAGTGGTAGCAAATGCAGCTCTTGTTACTGCATAAATATCTCACCAAATAATCAATATATCAGCGTCCTCATACAGTAAATATGTAGAAATGTACATGTGATGATATTTGAGGAAGTAATTGAGTCCCTTATTAAAATGAGAATGGGACAACAATATTCTTCTTTTTGTTTCCTTCAGAGATGTGAAGTCTTGTATCTCAGTCTTGGAGCTGGGATGTGGAAATTTGTCCTTCCACCTCTTCTCTGAAAACTTCATTTGGCAAGGTATTTACCCGAGCTTAGATACAGCAGTGGGCTGATAATATGTGACTGGGTACCCCCTTATCAAACTCAGAAAATGTGGGAATAGTCTTAGTGGACTGACTTCAACCTGCTATCTTGAATTTGTTTTAATTTCAAGCCAATGGAGAGGAAGAATCAGAGGTTTCCTTAGAAAATCAACTAACCATATTTAATTTTTGCGTTGAACTGTTGCAAATGGCTTACTGTACTTTTACTGTTTGTAAAATGCTTCTGATATTTGAAAGTCATAAGAAAGTAATGGCAGATGAAAACTGAAAAGCAACAAGTCGCCTTCGTAAATTCTGTTTGTGTTGTCTTCCACCTGATAAAAAATAGCTGTATGAAAATTACAGTAAAAAGAAAATATTTCCTTTGAGATACGTATCTTATGTTTTTAGATTTTCATATTATTGTTTAGGGTGAATTTTATTAAATTTTAAAGATATTTCCAGTGTATGACTAAGCTGGCCTATTAATACAGACACTTCAAGATCAGTCATATTGAAAAAGCTACCAACCAATAATATTCATTATTTTCAAGCACTTTTTTTTTTTTTTTTAAATAATACCAAAAATGGCAATATAGTAAATAGCTAACACATACTTATTTAAACTAAAAAAATCATTGTAAACCAGAAAGCCTCAAGAGTAAATCCTTGACAGGGCAACATTTACTGGCTTTTAAATGGACCTGATTAATGGCGAACCTCTGAATAAAACTATCTTAATGCCTCTTCTGTCCTATTTATTAAGTTTGCAGTAAAAGCTATTTCTCCTCCCCTGACAATAGAATCATGGAATAGTTTAGGATGGGAAAGAATTTCAGATCATCAAGTCAAACAGTTAACCTGGTACCACTGTTCACCACTGAACCACATCCCTAAGTGTGACATCGGCATCTCTTGTAGATATCTCCAGGATGGTGACTCTGTCTCTTCCCTGGGCAGCTGGTTCCAATGCTTGATAACTTTTTCAGAGAAGAAAAGTTTCCTAATACCCAATCTAAACTTCCCCTGGAACTAGTTGAGTCCATTTCATATCATCCCATAACTTGTTACTTGGAAGAAGAGACCAACACCCATCCCACTACAGCCTCCTACAGCCTTTTTCTTCATTGATATAGGCCAAAACAAATTTGTGTTCTTCATTCTGCTATAGTTTCTTTATGGCTTCTTTCAGAGATCATTGTAAAAATCTTTGGAGTTCAAATACTTCTACAGAATTCTGCACTGAAGATCAGTTTCAGATTGTAACTGGTGTATCACTGAAATTGGGGTGAGTATACAGATATAGATCTATTATATAATTTATCTTTGTCTCGTGACAAACTAGTTCCAAGACATGGTGTTCCCATTTCCTCCAATGAGGAATTATTTGATAATCAAAAATTAGTTAATTACCAGGAAGTTTTTCCTGACATTTGGCAACTATATATTTGTGAGTTTTTTTGCATCTTAATGTAATCATATCAGCTTGAGTGCCCTAAAATCACCCTGCAATACTAATAAGAAAACTCTGAGTCAGGGAACAGTGGTTTAAAAGAGATTTTAAAAGTGAGAGTAGATTAGACTGTTTCATTGAGTACAAGGAGTGAACTGCTGATTAAAGTACTTGTTTTGCCAAAGCTTAAGCACCTGTGAAAAAGCAATAGAACTATTTATATGATTCAGCTGCATTTTTAAAAAGTTATTTCCTCTAAAACCATCTGATTATTGAGAAAAATACTGCCTGTTTTGTTGTAGTTACACTGAAATTTGGGAATTGCACAGCTTAGTGCTTTCCCCAAATAATAGTTGTAATACAGAATAGTCTCCATCTGTTCTGAAATAAGCAATATACATACAGATGCCCTGCTATCTGTATGTATATTTTTAGTCACACATTCAACTTTGTAATCCCTCTGCTCCAGTCTACATTCCTGGCATGAAACATAAGGCTTGTTATTCAAATATTTTAAATTATGTTTGTGTGTGCATGTATTTTATTTTCTTAACTCTGGCGAAAACAGTTTAAAATACATGTCTAAAATGAGACATTTCCTATTTTTCTTAAATCTTCAGAAGTTTCTATTCTTGAATTGGTAATCATATAGGTTCAAGATAGAGATCAAGAAAACACCAAAAAGTGGAGAAATTAGAGGACAGAGAAACCTGAGCTGAAATGCCATGGGGTAAATTATATTGGGAAGTACATTTTAAACATGGATTTCCACTTTATAATGCTGAGTTCTTGTTTATCTTGATTTGAAGGGCAAGCTGAAGTCTTAGTGTGATTGACAGATAATCAAAGGATGAAAAATAACATCCCACATGGGGTTCCCAGGTGTGTTTTTGTGGAAGCAGTGCAGAATATGGGAACAGGAAACACACTTACTTAACTAGACATAGAGGGAAAGAAAACAAGTATTTCCAGTGACTGAAGAAAACATAACCAGAGGGGAAACAGAGCTTGTATACAGAATTCTTAAGTGTTTGCATTGCCCCTAGCTTATTTTGGTGAAACTATTTGCATGCTGAGAGCAACCACCTATTTAAGGAACAATGAGAAACAGATATTCCAGCAACAGAGATAACTCTGTAGCAGTTGAGAAAGACAGGACAGATTGCTATTCCAGCACTGCTTTAAGGAAGCTGGAAGGTCTTTGTCCCTTTCAAATTCACAATGTAAATCCAGTTTGAGCTGTGTTCTAAGTGTGCAAATAACTCCATGTTGCAAGTGATAGAGGCCTGTTTCTCAAAGGATGTGACTGGGCTTCCCAATTCCCAAGTGCAGGTATGCTCGCTGGGCTTGCTGGGCTTGCCGGGTGGTAGAGAGATGGAAAATGGATGAAAACACAAGGAATTGATGGAGATGATCTCAGTCTGGATGATGAGGGGAGGCATTCTGTGGAGCACACTGGCATTCAGATTAGCTGCAGCTACTGCCTCTCTTCAGTGCAATGCACTCATAGATCTGATGGCTTGGCTCTGAAGATCTGAGCTAAACAACAGCCTTTCAGCACTCTCCAGAAGGTATTTTGCTGGTTTTGATCAAGTCACTCAGTCTTCATGCCTCAGATTTCCATCTCTTTAGTTTAGAGGGGTAATGTGAAGATACACATACTCAGGTTTACCTTGTCCTTGTGTGAGAACCTCAGTCCCTGATGGTGTAGGGATCAAGAGTTCCTGTTAAAAGATCCCAGTGCAGCCATCTCCACCAGAACTCTGGCCCTGGTGCCAGCTCACAATACATCGTTTATAGGAAGGAGCATGACACTGGGAAATAAAGAAAAATCTTCCTGTTAAGATAGATGTTCTTTCCATACAAATTAGTGTTGTTTTATGTCCTTCTGTTGCTTTATTAACAATATTTCACAAATATCTTCTCCACCAGAACTGTTAGTTAATCCTTTCCTCTCTACCCCACCCCAGCTCTGGTTCTTTGACAAATTCCAGTCAAATGCTAGAATTTACAGTGGACAAAGAGAATTTTTTTTGTTTATTTATTATTGTTCAGTGCTAGAATTCCTTCTCCAAGTCTTTATATTATAATTATGAGCAAACAGGAAAGTTTGGTTCAATTTTTGTCTGACTCCTGCTTATTTTTCCTGCCTCTGTTAAATTCTTCCTAAAGAAAATTCTCAGAGTTGCTACATATTACTCTCCTGCAGGTCTTTTTCATCTTAGATTTTTCTTAAAGTTCTTTTTCACACTTCATGTGTAATCAGTAACTTCCTACAGAGGTGAAGCTGGCAGATGCTGGCCCAGTGTTGTAAATACATTAGTCCAATTAATGCCTAGTGGCATATAAATACATTTTCGAGTTATTTTCCATTACACTCCCTTAACATTCTTGTATTTCCATTGTGACTGGACTTTAGGTTATGGTTTACAGCAGAGCATTGCAGATGTGCTGAAGCTTGGAAACTGCTAGAAAACCATGTCTGAGGAAGCTGTGCAGTGAGCTTAGCAGAATACAAATTATTTAACTTCTAAAAACAAAGGGATCTTTAGAAACACAAAACCACTGACTAGTTATGTTCTCACTGCCAAAGGCTGTTACTAGATATTTTGAACAAGGATTCTTAAAGAAGAAAAAAGAAACAGAAAGTCAAAGGGAGAATTTTAATTTACTTCAATGGAAATTTTAACCAGAAATTCAGATAAAGACTGGACATTATTAAAAAAAATCCTAAATATTTAATAATAATTTCTCCTCCTTAGTAGGTTTTCCCCTTGCTTTTGTTTAGCACTTGAATAGGTATAGCTTAAAATGCCATGATCAGCTTTGAGAAGTGCAAAATAAAACTGGCATTTATAGGTCTTCAGTTAGAGTAATTACTGCACCAACTTTTTGTGAAACTAAGGAAATTAGGGTATTAGAAAAAATATGGAACAATACAGAATAAGATCATAAGCAGGTGGAGTGATTTTACTTGTAGCATACTCTGGATGAAGTACTGAAAGCACTATGACGGTTGCAGTACTTTACCACATGTACTGAGCAGGCACGTTGTGATTTAATGGGTGACTTCTGAAGAAAATGCCAGAGTCAGGTAGAAATGTCAATTAGTGCAACACTTCCTAACATCCCACTGATTCATTCCTTTATCTTTGAGTGTTAGAGGAATTGAAAATGTTGCACATTACTCTCCACTAATTTGGTTCTCTTGGGCTCCTCATGGTACATTTTATTCCACTTTGGTCATTTAGAAACAATGTTCTACCTGAGCACAAAGGAAAATGGATTCACAGATGAGCTGTTATTTCAGTATGACAGCATGTGGGAGGAAAAGTGCATTCAGGTTCCAAATCAAATATTAAGTATGTAAGGTTACATCTCCTGCTTTGTTCAGGTTTTTCTCAGAAAAGGAGTTTGGAGAGCAGCTGCCACAATTAGTGTTGAAGGCACCGGGGAAATGCAGCCCTGAGATCTTTAGCCAATATTTCAGGCTTTTCCAGTGATCTGGCCAGTGCCCTTTCTCCCCTCTGCCATCTCTCTTTCATGAAAGGAATCTGGGGAAATTATAAAATCATTTCCTACTACCCACTAGAGTAGGCTGAGATGGTTTAGCCATGATCTTGGGATCACATATCCCATGAGAGATTTGGGGATTACTCTCGGTATTATATATATATATAAAATAACAGTGGGTTTGTCTATGCAGAAATAGCTATTGTGGTAGCGGAAATTCACACTCTGCATAAATCTGCTTTAACTTGCAAGTCTGCACAAGCCTTTTTTGCTTTGTTATCTAAGTAAAAGCAATAATTGGTGTGAAATCAGCAAAGTTAAAACTCCCCAACCAACAAGACAAAAAGGAAACGAAGCTTTGAACAGGAGACACATTTAAAGAAATATTTTTTTTTCCCAGTGGGATATCTGAGCTGCTGGTTCACAGTTAATGTGTGAGGATGAGCATGATGCTGTGATCTGCACAGGCAAGTGTTACAAAAGACTGCATTGATGTTCTGTTGCAGCACTGGCCTCCTCTTGATAACTTATCTCAATAAAACATTGTGCTCAGGCACCTTGACCGCTTCCAAGGGTGAGGTACCTTTGCTTGACATGGTGTTGTGCTGTATGCATGTACAGTATCCTCTTTACAGCATTGCTAAGTCATGAAATTTCATGAAGTCATGAAATCTCCCAGGAGAGAAGAGAGAGGTCACCAGCTTTGAGTAGGGTCATGTCTATCAAATCTTGGATCTCGAGTCAATAATGATTACTGGCAGTCATAGCACTGGTCAGCTGAAGAGTTTTAGTTCATAACTAACCCTCCCCCTGTGCACTGACCACCATAGGTCTTTTGGGGACTCCTATCACACTTGCTGAAAGCAGCCCATGCACTAAGCTGCAGCAAAAACATGACCTTTCCTATATTTGTGAGTCTGTATGTGCTCTAAAATCTCTTCTGAAACTGGACAAAAATATGGCATGAAATTTTCCTTTATTAAAAGTAGACCTGAGAACATCTGCAGTAGATGTAAATAAGTAAGATAGCAGCAGTAAATTGTTCTGCTGCAAATTGTGATTTTATTGTGAGTCCTCCCTAGAAGCTGCACTTCTCTGGAACTCTAAGGGAGAAATCTCTAATTTTACATAAAAATAGGTTTCTAGCTGGAGTCTAAAGGAAATTTTATACATAAAATGCTATACAGGAGATTGAAGATCATAAATTAGGCAAAAAGAAACCCATAATACCTTTCCTATGCTGTCAAGATTCTAATAAAAATCTTATGATTATACAGTGGAAGTCATTGACCATAAATTTCAAACATTCTGGCTTAGCAGCACTGAAATTGCTTCTATTTCAAGTCTTTCTCCTACTATTTTACAACAGTTCCAGGGGTTTAAATAGGTTTTAGAAATCTTTAATCTGGTTTCAAAAATTATTGGACAAAGAGTCAGCTGTCCAGGTTTTGTAGAATATAGTGTGGAAGGAGGCCTCAGGGATCATTTTATCCAACCTTTCTCAGCAGAAGCATGTTCTAGACAGTATGTCCCAGCACCCTCATTGTTCTTAAGAGTCCAACACTGGGGAATCCATCACTTTCCTGGGGAAATTACTCCAGTGATGGATTTGTCTCATTCTGGAAATATTTTTGTCCTGTATCTAATCAAAATCTCCCCGAGATGAACTTGTACTCGTGACTCCTTGCAAGCAGAGAGTCTCAATCTTCTTTGTAGCCACTCATGCCTTGCAAAACATCACAGCACATTAAAGAGAAAACACTTGAATGACCCCTTACTTTACTGCTGATATGGTGTTGTGTTTCAGCTGAAGCCTTTTCTGCAAAGCCCGAGGAGGCAGACCTCAGGTCATGTGCCATATGAGGGGACACAGTGCTGTCCTGCTGCAGCATCTCTCCAGGGCTTAGGCAGCCAGGAGTGCTGTTTCTCTGGCTGTAGAGCAGCCTTACAGCTTAATTCACACACTGGGCCATCTTCATAGATGGCAGTAAGAGGTTCAAAATGCCCACTGGTCTGTTTCCAAGGTTTTGGAGTTATAGAATGAGATAGGAGTAGGAAAGCGGTGTTATAATTGTATACCCTGCAAAAAGGTCACTGCACTTAAGCAGAATAAGATGAAAGCCAATTTTCTGTCCCACTCTTATTGCACGAGAATTGAGAGGGCTTAAAGATTACAGACGTGACACATCTGTGACAGACTGGGAGTGTTTTTCTGCTGATGAGGAGTTCAGGATATCTTTTAGGACCACAATCAGCATTTGGCTCTGCAAGGTTGATGGCAAAGAGCAACACACCTTTTAGTCCTACTTCACTGAAAAGGCTGATGAAAAAGCAAAGTAGAGACACAGCCTAAGGAAGACTTTAAATTGTACTGGAAGTGGTGGAGGAACTCTACTAACAGTTTGTGTTTTGATTTGGAAGTGGTGAGGCTGAGTTTTGGAGATGTCATTCCTCTTCCCTAATGCCTCTGCAGTGCCACTAGAGGGCCCCGAAGTCCACCTTAAAATTTTGCCTTTGGCATTTTTGAAAAGACGTCACAGCAGTGAACATGATTTCCAGAACTCTTGTGTTTTCTCATTTTGCTATTCTTAATGGAATGTGTAGGGTGAACAAAATCACGAGAAAATAAGGATTTGGGGAAGAGGACACCTTAAAAGACAGTATCACCAGTGACTTCTATCCACTAAGGACTTGCATGGTTTTCTGGTGTTTGGTGAAAGTGGTATCTCCTCAGCAGCAACTGGATTCCCCTGTGTCTTTTCTATTTTATGAGACAGAAGTATATGTAGTAGGTTCTCTGAGAGTGCACAGGAGGCTTCTGATTCCACACCATCCCCTATGAGGATGTTTGCCCTTTGTTAAACCTCACCTCAAGCCTTACTTCCATAGCTTGTCTCTTGGCTGTGGAGGAGCGAAGCAGCTGAGTTACACTTGCTATTGAGTGTAAGTTCTTTAGTAAACAAGGAAAGGTTCTTTTTGAACAATGTATCTTTTTCCTTGCAGAGTTGGATGTGGAAGGCAGCAATGCTGTTCTGCTCTGTATTTGTGGATATGTCTGAGCAAACGACTTCAGGGCTTTGGTCATCCCAAAGAACAGCACTTCCTTGTGCTCTGTCTCCTTGCAGTCCAGAGTAATAACCAGGTTTCTGAAGATGTTCAGACACATGCAAAGTTTAAAATTAACTCCAAAAAATTTTGGGTTTTTTCCTTTTTCCATTTACTTTATCTCTTCCCTTTAATTAAATAAGCCTGCCACCTCACATGCCATGGTCACGATCTGAAACATTTCGATAAAGATGTGTAAAATGATGTTAAATTTTTGGCATCCCTCTCAGGACTGAAACTGAAGCTGGATCACAGGAAGAGAGACTATGTCATTGGGACCAACCATTCAATCATTTCTGTTCTGGGAGAGTTTGAAACATTGGGCACTGAAATAAAAAAACGTCATCATAAATTTTATGGCTTTTGCTGAAACACTTATGATTTGATGGATGACAGCTAGAGCAACTGACTCCACAATTCAGAGAGGACAAAATAATAAAATTGCCAGAAACCTTCCTAAAATACTCTGCCTGTGACATATAAGGAAGCATACTGCAGTATGGGCTGGCTCTGCTGGCATTTGCTTTAAATGACCGGCATCATATCAGTGACCCTTCCATCCCAGACTAAAGAGTAGATGTTCAGAGTGACCTCTGTTATCCATTTAATGCACTGTGCCTACACTGTCCTGTTTTTCTGAGAGCTGCCAATGGATACAAATGAGGCATAAACTTTGTGTTTTCCTTTAGAGATAATTTTGCCTTTCTAGAAATTAATTATACATTTACATAAGAAGTAGCATTCGAGACAAATGTATGTCTGCTGGACTAGTGAATCCCAGAAAAATGGTTCACTAAATCTAAAGATAGATGACTAAAATATATTATGCAGGTCATGTCTGAGAAGTATTCATCTCCTTTAATTACAAAAGAGTATTTATCTCCCTTAATTACAAAAGAAGTCTAGATGACCTCATGGGTTGTATATTATATATATCAACTTTCTGGCAAGATGAATCCCACCTGTACTGGCAGTGTTATCATGCAATCTTCCATTTGTTTGTGCCAAATTACCAAGTACAGACTCTGTGCTGCATATGTGGCACTTGGGGAGAGAAAAGCTTACCCTGGAGGCAGGGTTCAACACATATAGGGTCTTGAGAGACATTGCAACTCCCAGGAATGACCAGGTAGAGTTCAGTTATTCCACAGGAGGCCCCTTTCCCAGCCTGGGACTCTGGAGATGCTACATGAACAGGTATAGACTGGCTGCTGCTTGAGGAGAACCTGACCAAAGGTCTTTGGCTCAAGGGCAACACACTTCTGTGTGCTGAGCACCTCCATGGGTTGTCTGCTGGGACCTTTCTCAATGCCAGCTGCCAGCATCCCTCTGGGAGTGAGGAGTGCTTTGCAAAGTGGCATGCAAGGAGAGAGGCATGTGAAGAAAGATGGAGAAAGAGGCTCTGGTAAATCATTAAAACACATCATTCTTCATGCTGTAGATCAACACACTTTCTGCTTTCTTTTTTGGTCTCCTACTACAGATGTTTAACTTGTGTCATGAGTGAATATTCTAGTCTTAAACTAATAAAGTTTTCTATGAAGGAGTGGTTTGAATTTGCAGTAATTCAAATTTTATTTTAAAATTTTATTTAGGAGGGCATAATTTGTATGTATAGTACTATATTTATAGTATTTTAATTTGTTTCATAAGCATATTTTGGGTCATGAAGGATGTTTATGACATACATGTATTAGTTTCAAGTACCTTTCTTCTTGAAATCCTTTGTGTTTTGGGACACAGCCAGACAGGATGACAGAATGTTGGGTCGATAGAACATTTTATCCTTGTAGGAAAATTAAACATTCCTGTCTAATTTAAAAAAGGGATTGCCTAAAACTTTATATGCTTTCAGGGTCCTCTTCCTGTTCATTAGGAACAGTTCTGTATTCTTTTGCAATCAGCTCTCATCATTTATTGTGTCATTTCAATTGTAAGTGGTTAAAAAATGCCTGAAAAAGCTCTGTGGACATCTAGTGTGTTAATTGGATGGGGAAGAAGAAGATGTTCTTGTAATGAGGTATTAAATGCAGTATAAAAAAGCTCTGGACAAGACACTGCAGTTTACTGGCTGATGTATGGTTGATTCAATATTGAATGAGGAGCAAGAATTCCTTTCAAACAATGGTTGTCTTTTGTGTTGTGTTTTTTTTTAATAACACTGCTGGGAAATTTAGGAAAAAATAAGTTCATTTAATTAAAAAAAAAGATAAGACTAGTATCCTCAGAAAAAAAAATTTCTGAAATTGAATTTATCTCACCCTCCTTCAGGCTAATGAATAATAACACATTCTGCTGACAGAAGGTAACTTTAGGAATATGATATCATCACAGCTAAATCTTACTGATTGATCTCATGCAGTTAGCAGGACTGTTGTGATAGCCTCATAAAAATTACTCTCTCCTTGAATTTCAGATCCACTTTATGTTACTTTTTATTATTTCTCTCATCGTCATTATTTCCAGCACTGGTGAGAAACACCTGGAGTACTGGGTCCAGGGCTGGGTTCTCAAGTAAAAGAGAAACAGGGATGTCAGAAATCAAGTCAAGCAAAGGACCATGAAGGAATGGAAGCATCCCACAGAGGAGGAGTGTCTGAGAGAGCTGGGATACTTAAGCCTAAAGATAAGATGGCTCCAGAGGAATCCCAATAATGCATATAAATATCTGATGAACAAGAGTAAGGAAGAGGGATACTGGCTAATCTCAGAGGATCCCAGTGACAGGACCAGAGGCAGTGGGTACAAATTGAAATGCAGGAGACTCTGTCAGAATACAGAAAAACACCTTTCTACTGGGAGGGTTATTGAACTCTTGCACAGGTTGCACAGAGAGGTTGTGGAGCATCCATTGTTTATTAGCCTGGAGAAGAGGAGGCTCAGGGGTGACCTTTTCACTCTCTACAACTCCCTGACAGGAGGGTGTAGCCAGTTAAGTGTCCTCTTCTCCAGAGGTTTCCCAGATCTCAGTGTCTTCCAGGCTAACTGATTCTGTGATATTTCACATCCCTCTGAACATGATCCTGGACAGCCTTCTCAGCATGACCCTACTTGAGCAGGCTGGTTGCACTAGACAATCTCAAGCCTCATCAGCTCTTCTGTGCTTCTGACACTGTTTCTGCAGTTTGACAAGAGCCAGGCAGGCTGTGGCTGAGAAGCCATTAGTGCTACTTAGTTTATATGCAGGCATGAGCTCCTGAAAAAGGCTTTATGTTGATTTACAGACTGAGAAAGAGATTTCTTCATTTCCACAGTGAAATAGAGCCAAAGACCAGAATGGACAAAGCATACATCCAGACTGAAGCCCTGTATTTTAAAAGCCATAATACCTAGTCTAAATGAATAGTAAATTAGGACCTTCAGAGGCTGTGTAATCTCTCTCTTTGTCCCTAGGCGGGGTTAAATGCACCTAAATCATTCCTGGCAACGTTTCCAGTCATTAATGATCCTTACTATTAGAAAGAGTTCCTTGATATCTAACTGAAACTTCAGCAACTAATGGCCCTAAATTCCCATTAATGTCTTTTTGCTACACTGATCATTGAGGAAACTTTTCAAGACTGCTGCCATTCCCTCCTCAGCCTTTTCTTCTCCAGGCTGAGCAAACACTTCAATTCTGTCCGCATTTTCTCGCTAAAGACACAGGAAAAAGTCAATGGGTACTCTGAATCCAAAGAGTGGCATGTGCCTGCAGGTTGTCTGCCTAGCCTAAGTGCTACCAAATAAATTACTGGGTGCTCTCAGGCTGATGCTTGAAAACAGCCCCTGATGTGATGTGCGGCATGTACTGAAAAAAATGATCTTGCAAATGCATTTGGAACATTTTATCGAGACTAAAAGCTATATTTAGGTCAATCCATACATACCTAAATGAAAGCAGTGTTCCCCATGAGGGAAGATGGACACATGATGTCTAGTCCCTGGTGTCGCTGGGCTTCCTGCCTTGGCAGGCAGTGCCTGAACTTTGGGACAGCAGTTCACTGCAGGTTTACAACTGAGATTCTTTGACCACTTCATGTGTGGAGGAGTTTGTCTCCCTCCTTTAGTTAAACTGGGAGCACTGGGAGAGCTGTGTCCTGCTCCAGGGACTCAGCTGCTTTCCCAGAGCTCAGGAGAGCTCTCGTCCCTGGGGGCATCATCGGCACCTGCAGCATTGCTGAAATGCACTCACCCTCAGGATGCACTGAGGCTAACCAAGGTCACAGAGCACTGTAATGGCCCAAACTCCCCTGGTGGGAGCAGAAACTGCACTAGCAAGCACTTGAGGCATTTTCTTTGCTACCCTCAAAGCACCAGGTAACCCTTTGCCTTCAACCACTACAATCTGCCTGAACAAAGTAGGAGAAAAAAAATGGATAAATACAAATTAAAATAGGAAAGAGAGTAGGGGGAAAATTACTCCACATCATGCCCTCTCCTCCTAGACTGGTCAGGCAGTAAAAGCCTTGAAAAAAGGATTTTCTTTCTGTATTTGTTACAGTACAAAACTGAAGGAATTATAGATTCAATACAGACAATTCAGCTTCTCCCAGGAACAGCACTATTTGCCCAGAGATAATTTAAAAAATAAGAAGAGATAAGTCTTGTATGCTGAGTTAATGAAATCTGTAGCTTCTGGAAACATAATAGGGCTACAAACAATAAACCAAGAAAACTGGTGAGACTTTACAATCACAAAAAAGATGCTGCTATGGGGAATAACAAGGAACAAGAGTCTGCTCTTATAAAAGTCTCTCCAAAATTTTTTTCTCACTCATTTCACTTTGAAAATGCCTTGAGAAATAATATAAGGTATATTCTGACACTAAAATTCTGAAAAATGAATAGAAATTCACAATACTTTTCAGTGCCACCTAATCTGTATTTTTATTCGAGTGAAGTCACTCAATAAAAGAGGAATCAGACCCAAAGTACTGAAGTGGATAAAATATTTTAAATGCAAAGTGTGGTCTGCTAAAAGTAGAGTGCACATTTATATGTTCAGAAATATACTGATGCTTTCAATCTCTCCCACATATTACTGAAGTATGAACTATTTTAGTTAAAATGTTGTATTCTAATTCTTTTGTCAAACTCCATTGATTTTAATAAGATATCACTATTATAACAATGTGTAGAATTAGAAAATAAAATGTTCTAAAGCAGGCATTTGCTTTTGCAGATCTGTTTCACATGTCCTTGATTATGCTTTGCTGTGGTCTTTGAAATCACCTTCCAAGTCCTTTCTGTGGAGGCCACAGTGTTATTCCCAACCTCTTAGGGCAGCGCTGTTCCTAGGAATTGACAAGGCCCCAAGGCAATTTGCAAAATTTGCATTTCTCATGATATGGAGCACATGGGCTGCCCCTGAGGGTCTTTGTGGCTACAACAGCAGTCCCAGCTTCTGGCAGAAGGACTAAGTTTTAAGTAGAACTTCTTGCTGTCTGCTTTGACACATTGTTATGAATTCTGACAACACAGGAGCAAGATCACCTACAAATGCAAAAGACAAATAGACTTGATAGCTCAACAGAGTGAAAATTATTTGAGAAAGGTTAGGGGTTTGAGTTATATTTAAGATGTATGGGTTTAAAGTTCTCTGTGGCAGAATGTCAATTGTAATACATTTATAACTTGAGAAAAAGAACATAATATCATTTTTCAGCAGTTTGATAAATGAGACACTGGGGGAAAATGTTTGTCCTAGAACAGAAAATGCCCAGAGAGCTTCTGTCACAGACCATGGACTTTGTAAACCATGATCACCTCTCTTGCAGTAGTTGATTAAGCCATATTTCAGACTATCATCAGCTTACCTTTGATTTCCATTCCCACTGTTTTACAAAAAACAGAGCTGGGTGAAGGTTAGTAAACAGATTTAATTAGATTTTTTGATAATGTTATTAAGCCCATGTTTTTTTATTACACATTCATATCTACTCTCTGTTTCCTCAGCACCCAGAGGATAAAAGAGATCAGCAACAAGTAGGTCTGAAAGAATAAGGACTTGTATAATAAGGAATAAGAATATGGAAATATAATTACAAGGCATGTTTTGAGGGAAAAATGTAGAAAAATTACTTGGGGAAAAAAGTGAAAGTAAAAAGATACTGAGATATTCTGTGAGCTTTTTTATTTTGTAGATTGGAAATAATAATCAAAACCATTTGTCACAATGGTTAATTTCAACATTTTCCAAAGTAAAATGCTTCACTTTTCAAACTGAAATTATTAGCTTTCCTTTGATTTCATAAAATCACTACATTGACTTATGATATTTCTGTAATAAAAATAAAAAATCCTGTTCAGCTACAAGTAATTCTACTCCTTGATTTTTCAGTATATTCAAAATGTTTCAGTTTTTAGTCTTGCCAGGAGATACTACATTTTGTAGTTGCCAGTGAGCTAAAAAAGTAAAATAAGCTATTATATTAGCTGATCATTTTAGATGATAGGACGCCATATCATCATGAAGACTAAAAGATGCTACACTTAGATTAACAACTGAGGAGGGAAAAAGGAACAGAAAATTTCATCACAAACCCCTGCTAGTATTCAAGTATTTGGTAGAAAAAGGGTTGCACTGATTTTGAAGGTAACATACTCAAAGGTGAAGTAGTAGTGATTCACTGATAGAGCTGTAGCATAAACGGTCCTGTTTTCTCTGAAGGAAAAAGAGAAGTGGTTTCATAACTTTACCTGATAAGGTGGCTAAAAAATTTTACCTTGAAGTTTTGGCTTAATTTGCTTCATTTGTTTTAGTGATGTTTAAAAAAAATAAAAAAAGGAGAATGCCCTGATATAAGGAAAACATCAGTTTTAGAGGAAGGACAGTCAGTCGCCTTTTCCAGATTTTATCCAGGATTTGGGATAGCACTAGAAGAGAAAACCACACACAAATTTTATGGAAAAAACCAATTTAATGACAAGTGTTCTTGAAAGATATGTACTTTCCCTCATCGGTTTTCTTTCATTTAGAGCATCATTCTGGTTTGGATAATTAAACTTGTACCTTTGGCACAATGGAGGCTGGCAGGAACTCCTGCTCTTTATTTGACTGGAGCAGAAACTCAAGTAGGAGAGACCCTGTTTCAGTGGCATTGACTCTGCTCTGATTTTCTCCAACTTGAGTCCTCAAAACAAGTGGTATCTGCACTGCATGGTATGTAGTTTGAAGTTGGTCTGAACATTTATATTACCTGAATTTTAATGAAATAGTTATGGTAAGAATGCAGTGCTTTGTGGCTTTGTGAGAAATAAACTGTTCTCTGTAAATACTATTTTTTTTTCTTTTCATGATATGGGTCTTGCCTTTTTTTTTTCTTTCTTTTTTTTTTTTTACACCTAATAATCTTCCTTGCATTCTCATTTCTTCATTATTTTATCATGAAC